AAAATGCCTAATTTCACGCTTTAGAGAGGAAGTACACAAGCGACGACAAAATTTCCTCTAGCCTGTTCCAGGCCATGATATAGTAGCGCGCGGCGGTAAGTGGGGAGCGAGTTAAGTGAACGCCTGGAACAGGCTAAAGTTCCTCTCTGTTTCTGAACTTGGATGTGGCTCGTAGGAATTCAACTTTAGGAGGGTTCACCTAAATTTGACAAAGTTAATCGCGATGAAAATTGCAAGAACGCGAATTTACTTTTTCAACGACGTTTTCGCTGGCGTCGCCGTTCTCGGATCTTAAAGTCCCTATCGTTGTTAATTGCACGACTTCCTTATTTCACGTTTTTAGAGGACAGGAACGCAACTCAGACAACCTTTTAATTTCTTGTTCTGAACTTAGATTCATTCTTCAAAATTCAACTCCATAAAAATTCGCCACTATTTGACAAATTGAAGTAGATGCCGGCGATCATGTGCCTAAAAGGTTAGCGGGGGAGGCCAAATGCAAAACATAAGGCAAGGAGGTAACCAGGCAACCCTGGAAGCGGGAACCACCCTTGCGAGAAGCTGCTAACTGGCACCGTCACACTGAGAAAATACTCAGTGGAAGAGATACTTATCAAGTGACATACTTACCTGCGCACCCAGACATGACAGCGGGGAGGGAGGAGAGGGAACAAGAATCCGCAAAGTTTCGCCAACACAAAGCTAAAAGGTGATCCGCAACGATCAGCGAGAATAGCTTGCAAAATAATTAACAATTATTGGACGAGGTTGAACAAAATATCGTGATTGTTTGTGGCGAGCAGATCAATTGTTTGCCGAAGCCGAAGGCTGAGGCAAATAATTGACCTGCGAGACACTGAAAAATCATGATATTTTGCGATAACCGAGTTCAATAATTGTTTTATCATTCGATCACCGAGTATGTTTTTTTAATGAATATCCTTCGGAAGCGAAGCGATCTGCCATTTTCACGCAAGAGCGATGGCAAGAAGGAGAAAACATGGTTTCCTTTACGCATGAGCAGAATATTATTTGCAGCCAAACACTGTTGGACGGCATTGCACATGAGCAGACCATTATTTGTAGGCAGTTATTCGCAGGTCACGTGGGCCGCCCCGCACGTCACCCGTGCTAATACCGGAACACCGCTGGCAGCATTGGCTCGAGGTTAACTTAGCCTAAATAAAAATTTAGCCACATTAATCAGGTTATTAACACAAAAGAAAATAACAGTTACATTCCTCTTTTCAAATACAGTACAACAAACTTGTTTAACCCTTGAAGTCCTGAGAGTTATCAACATCCATTTTCTCCCAACGGCATCAATAAATAATTATGACGATAGGTTGTGAGAACTGGTAAAATGATCCACAGAGGGAAAATGGTTTGATCTTTCATCGAATTCTCTCAACTGATTTTGTAAGGAAATGTATGGAGATCAGTCCAGAGAATTTGTATGTGGGTATTAGGGTTTAAAGGGTTAACATTTTGACAACAAAGAAATGTTGTAACCAGGGGCATAGACAGCTCTTAGACCTGTAGGCCCAGGCTTACAAATTTTTGGTTTGATCACTCCACCGCTTGTAATAAATTATGCGTTGTTGGGATGAGCTAAAAAAGCTTGAGATCTCCAAGTGTTGGTGAGGTTAGTGCATACTAGTCATGCGTGCAATTTTCAGGATATGTGGAAATGAAAGTCAGTCAAGCCTACAACTAGTCCAAAAGCTGGCTACGCCCCTGGTAACAGCACAAATGCTGCAGAAATGTTGCATTTGTCTGAAAGGCACTTGACATTTTTTCTCTTTTTTTCAAAGAAAACCCTTTCACCAAGACTGTGAAGAGGCAAGAGTCACAGGACAACTCATCTTACAGACACAGCATCACCAAGAAACATAAAAACTATAACACTATTCACTGATTCACCATCGCCTCTCAAGAGAAAAAAACAAAAATGGCTCCAAATTGCATGAAGAGAAGTCTTCCTCAACAAAGAGAAAAATTTTATAATGTACAGAGAAATAAATTGTAAATGCTGTTGATGTGCCTGTGATGATTTGATGCTCTTAGAACCTTCATTTGTGCTATAACTTTGAGTCAACCCTTTCTCGTTTTCTTTTATTTTTAGAACTATGATTTCCTTGGAACGAAAAAAATGGCGGCTAAGGGAGAAACTTTTCTCTGCGCTCCTTTGCCGTTTCCTTAAAATCACTAATCTGAGTGATTGGTAATCGGCTCGCAATGATGTAGTTTTCTTTCTTTGTAAAACGAGGGACATTTTCGTGGCGCTTGTAAGAGAATGTTTTGTTGACCTTTTTAGTGTAGAGGCAGTACATGCCATGAAACAGTGTATTCGCGCGATAAGGGCGTGGATGCAAGCTGACAAACTGAAACTTAATGAGAACAAAACTGAGGTCATGTTAATCGGAACCCGCCAACAACTTAGCAAAGTCAACCTAGGTACTCTGACTGTTGGTGATACTAGTGTTGCTATTGTAAACAA